TATTGTGCTGACGTCATCGTACATTGCAATGGAGCACATCACACCCCGCGAGGGTGAAATTTGAAAACGTCAGTTGAATAATGTTGCCGTTGCCTTCCTTTCTTAAGCTGAAAAGAATCGAAGAAAATTTTATAAAAAAAAATCGTTACGTCTTTTGCAACGATGTTTTTAGCTTGCTGTCACGTTTGTTTTTTGATTTGAGAGTGGTGTAAATGAAAAAATAAACGACTTTTCCTCGCTGCGTGCGGTTCTGAAAATTTTATACAGACTTTTCCATATTTTCCATGCATTGAATGATGTGTCTAACGAATAAGAAATTATATAATACAATGTTTCAATAAATGATTCTATGCAATTCTATGCAAATATTATTTATTAATTCTTGATATCTTTTTATTGTCGAGTCAAGGTTGTTTATTTTTGGATACGTCAGACATGTCGTTATCTCACTTTTAAAAAGTATAATGATACATGTTTACTTTCTACATTTTAATTACTATTTAAGGAGTAAAATAAAACTCATTAAAATTCAGTTCTCGTTAAATGCTTTCTCGAAAAGTTCAAATACGAATAAACAACAATTGGTATTTAAATAAAATGGAAAAGGTTGTAAATGATTGTTATTGTTTTACTAGAGATTTACATTTCTGAATTGACGGACAGATCTTTCACGTAATTAAAATTTATTGATCTCACATCTATTATTATTCTTACACTTTTTTTTCTACCTTCGTTTCTACTTTTTTTTTTTTCTACTTTTTTTCTACTTTTTCAATTCATTGCGTGACACAACGAAACAATTCGAAAAACGGCGTTGCTGGACGGCTAAGGGAACGGATAAGGGAATTTCTCTCAGCTCTGTCTGACTCGTCTCGCGTTTATCCGTAGTGCTGAACTTCTTTCCCGTTCCGGTCGAGGAAGAGTGCCTGTCCGAGGACAAACGACGTCAGGGAATATGCATGAACACATATGAGTGTCGCTTCCAGCACGGACAATCTCACGGACCGTGCGCTCTCGGTTTCGGCGTGTGCTGCATATGTGAGTATATCTGTCATTCGTACGTGAATATAACTTGTCACGCGCGTCATCATGAGGCAATATCGCCAAATCTAGCCGAAGGATCTGCAAGAGTAACGATTTATTCCGAGAAAAATGATCGCGAGGTCCTCTTTCCGACGACCTAGATCCCCCCATTTTAAATGTCTCCTATCGTAAATGGAGATGAGATTTTTATTATTTATAGATAAAAAAAGGAAAAACGAGACGTTTCGATATTGCACTTGCTCTTCCTCAGCCGTTAAATATAAAATATCTAGATAGAACGATTAAAATATAAAAATTGATATATATATAAAATTTTCTATCCGGCACGAATTTTATGAAAACATTGCGTTATTTTTTAATCTATTATTCTAAAAAAATTTTCTTGCCAAAATTTTTATTGTTAATTTCAAATATATAAAATATTTCTCTTTTTCTGAAATAACCGATTGTTTTTTTCTTTTTTTTCTTTTTTTAATATCATCTCTTTGATACCGCGAGTATGTTATTGACGTTTGAGCCATTCTGAAATAAAACGGAAGGTGTATGTTTCCAATTAAGGGTTACATTTATTTTTAGTATCTAGAAACGCATCTCTCTCTCTC